GATCCCTAGTAGGAACGTTTATTTGCATCATGTTGCATCTGACTTAGGGGACTCAACACAGGGGTTGGGTCCGTCTAGGACAAGCAACCTGAAATGAAAAAGACCATCCTGCTGCATCCTGTTTGTTCTACGCATTTATTTGCTTCAGATCTGCATGCTGACCGGTTTCTGAAATCGGGAATTTTTGAAAATTGTGAAAAAGAGGAAAAGATAAAAATAGCAGTGTAGGGAGATAACTACTTATTTTTAGAAAAAAATAAAACCAATGTCCAAGTAGTGTCAAAACCCTGCCGATTTTTTTTTTAAAAAAATGAAACAAAATTTGTCTTGTAGTTTGATTTATTTTTAAAAAAACAAATATATATAATACAAAAATATTTCCTTTTAATCGCTCTCAAAATCCAAAAAATATTTGTTTAAAAAATTTTAAAAAAAAAATTCAAAATTCAAAAATATTTTTTTTCTCTTTTCTTTTGTAGTATCTCTTTCATAAATTCAGACTAATAGTCCAAAATATTTCCTTAGAAGATTTTTCGAAATTTCAAAAAAAGAGGGGAAAAAGAATTTAAAATTCAAAAAAATATATATATAGTCGTCGTTTCTTTTCAAAAATAATAATAAATAAATAAATAAATAAAAAGACAAATCAAAATCTAAAAAAAATATTTCCTTTTTTCTTTGTAGGTATTTTATTCAAAAAAAAAGCTAGTTTATTTCATTTATTCCTGATCGGCCCGAACTACGCCGATTTGATTCTCACAGGGTGTGAGATACGTAGGCAACCCTCATCGGGTCCAACCTCCCCTTTTTCGGAAATAGCCCAAAATGTCAGAATTTTAATAAATGGGTCGGATGATGCCGTTTTTGTCAAGAATAGCCGAATGTTCCCGAAAGGGACGCCGGAAGGCTGACTTTGCATAAACAGCCATTTTGGTCATTTTTTGAATTTTGACCAAATTGCCCAATAGCCTTAAGATCCTCGTCCCCGAGGCTCTGTGAGGCCGTGTTCCCAATGGCGGGCCACTATTCTAAAAAAAAGAGTCATAAATAAATCTAGCGATGCTGTTTTTGTCAAAATAGCCAAATGTTTCCAAAAGAGACGGCGGAAGGCTGACTTGGCATAAACGGCCGCTTTCGATTATTCTTTAGAATTTGGATCGATTGACCCTCACAACCTTAAAATCTTCATCTCCGAAGTGCTGAAAGGCCGTGTTCGAAAATCGGATCTCTCTTTTCTAAAAATAGTCAAATCATTTTCGAGTCAAATTATTTTTGCTTAAATCACCTTAATAAATGTTCAGGATGAGCACAACGCAAAATGAACACTTTTCAATAATGACTAAAATCCCTGTCAAGTTGCGGCTATGGTGGGATGATCTAGGTGGTGAAGGGCAAGATGAGGTCAAAAAATATCTGAAAGGTCTCACAGGTTTATTGGAAATCCAGCCTCGGGGAGATATCATAAGAGCTTTGGTCACCTACTGGGACCTAGCACACAATGTCTTCCACTTCTCCAATTTTGAACTCACCACGACTCTGGAGGAAATAGCCGGGTACATCGGAAATGCTGAAGTTCCATTAAGGCAAAAATACCTGGTTGCCCCAAGAGCTGTCACTGTGCATCGTTTGCTAGATTCATTAAAGATACCCAGGACGGTCCATAACCCAGATTTGGCCGCATGTTTCTGTAGTCCGCGCTTCATATACGACAGATATGGTCATGTAGGAGGGTTCAACAATCCGGTTAACAAGTTATGCAGCAAAGTTAACCGTCAGAAGTGGGATGAGCATAGACGAGTGGCTTTCATGATAACATTTTTGGGCCTTTTGGTGTTTCCGAGGAAAGAAGGAAACATTGATCTGAAAATATCCGGGGTCGTCAGTACTTTTCTCACTCAAAATGAAAGCACTCTCGCGCCTATGATAGTATGTGATATCTTTCGAGCTCTCACAGCCTGCAAAGCCGGAGGGAACTTTTTCGAGGGGTGTAATTTGCTGCTACAAATATGGATGACTGAACATCTCTGCCACCGTTCCGAGCTTTTGGGTTATGGTTCCTCGAAGAAGACTTGCATAGAAGAGTTCTACACGAGAATCAAGGAGGTCAGTTTACCCAAGGGAGCTACGGCATGGACGTCATTCTTTCGAACCCTCATCGCCAGCCAAATACAGTGGATATTGGGGTGGTTGCCTGTCGATGAGGTCATATATATGCCGGCAGCTAGGACCCATTTTCTATTGATGGGACTCAAGAGCATTCAGCCCTACGCGCCCTATCGAGTTTTGAGATAACTCGGGAGATGCCAGATAGTGCCATACGAGGAAGATCTTAGTGCCCAAGCAATCGAGATTGGCCCTGACAGACAATTTCCTAAAACAAGAATCCGCCAGATCTGGAATGAATGCCAATGTTTAAAAGCAGATACTTGCGTGCAGGATCGAGCCAAAGGTGAAGTAGCGCCAGGGTACCTTGCTTGGTACAGAAGAGAACTTGAGCACAAAAGGCCGGCTAAAAGACCACATATTCAGAATTTTGCCGAGTCATCACAGGAGCAATGGATTTGGTTAGCAAAATAAAAAGGCTATCAGGTTGAAATCAGCAAGCTGAAACAATAAATTGAAGGTCTAAAATTTGAGAACAACGTGCAAGTTGCTACTGATCTGGGAGAAAAGAACAGGTTGGCCCAGGAAAACGAGGCGCTTAGGGCCTAAATCCAGCAAATAAGGATAGCCGTTGATAACCAACAAAGGAGCCGGTCGGATGAGCGACTGATAAAAGGTTTAAAAATGGAAATTAGTGAGTACAAGAGTGAGTTGGCGGGACTCGAGGCACACTGGGCAAAAAGAACAGAGGAGCGCCACCGGTACCTGCAATAGTTGAAAAAGGATCACGAGCAAACCATTGCCAATTTAAAGATAAAAGTGGCCACTCTTGAGGACAAAGCAGCCAAGCAAGCCCGAACCTTTGAAGCTGAAAATAGACATTGCTATGATTTACTGGCCCAGATGGAAGTAGAAATTCAGTAGCGGCAGAATCGACATCTCTAGGATTCTCGGGTTTTAAAGGCCCGTAATGATCAAATAGAGCGCCTACTTATAGAAAAAGGGAAAACCAGGGATAAGATTAAGACCATTGCCCATGCCATCATCATGAGGTGTCTACGGTGCGAAGATATGACCCATACTACCTTCTTCTCGGCAGTGATGATTTATGTCGAGAGAACCATGTATGAGCTGGAACAACTTGAAAGGGACCTCGCACCTAAGCCCGTGGCGAGGCCGAACGATGCCCCGCGGGCGCCAACTTTTAAAACTTTAGTGTGTTTGTAGGTCGAGTCTGGATCTTCCGTTTTGGCGTCTTTTGTTTGTCTTTTCGCATAAGGGTGTATCAATAGTTTTTGAGTTTGTATTTATTTCAAGTCTGTTATTTTCCTTTTGTTTCAAAATGTTTAGTTTGTAATAAGAATGTTTCCACTTTTGCACTTGTATGTCACGAACTACGCTTGGTCTGATTCACGCGGGGCCGTGATACGTAGGCAATCTTCGTAAGATACGACCGGAACTTTAAATAAGGTTGTAAAACCAAAATAATAATAATAATGATAAAAACAATATATATATATATATAATAAATAAATAAAAAGAGGGAGCATAAAGAGAAGCCAGAATGACGCATGCCATCGATGCAAGCATGTAAAAACTCACTTAACTGTATAGGTGCATCACACCCCAATATGAGATTACCTGTCTGTTATTTGTTTCAAACTAACCGTTTGTTTGTTGATAAGTTCAGATTTTTAGAAAAGTGGTTTGGTTTTGTGGTAATCTGGCCTCACATTCATACTTCACGAGATCAAAAGGAAGTGTTCAGCCATCCGTCACTAAATCAAGAGGAAGTGTTCATACATACTTCACAAGGTCGAAAGGAAGTGTCGAAATGTCTTCAGAAGTTCCTCTGCCAACGATTCCTATTTCGGAGGAAAGTTCAGTCTCAGCTATCCCGACTTCTGAGTCAGCAACGATTGAGGAAAATAGAATTCTGCGTCTCCGCATGATGGAAATGTGGGACGCCTGGGCCAATGGAAAAGAACCACCAAGTGCGATCCCTGGATTCCCCGAGCTTTTTTCCAGGGCAAGCGGGACCTCTAACATCCCCATAAGTTATCCAAATACCCCACTGGGATTTCCTACCATTTCAGCCTACTTTATTGGAACACCTTCTGAGTCTCGCCCCTAGGTGTTAGCTTCAGGTGTGGCTTCAAACATATTCACCGTTCCACCTTGTTCAACTATGGCACAACCTATTTTACCCAGACCTAACTTCGATTCATCGTCCTTCATATTTCAAGCACCACCTTTTCCATTGGAACCTAGCCAGTTTACTACCAATGCTTACCCTCAGCCGTCTCGGTACGAGTTTATCGTAGGGCAGGAGAAAGCCAAAAAAACACCTGAACAATAGGAAATTACCAGAAAGATGAGAAGCATGGAGCAAACTCTCAAAAATATATCTGAGCGGGCAAAAGAGCGTATCTTACGTTGACCTGTGCATGTTCCCGCACGTACATCTACCCCTGGGTTTCAAAACCCCAAAGCTTGAAAAATATGACAGGCATGGGGATCCCATTGCCCACCTCAAAAGGTACTGCAACCAGTTACGGGGAGCGGGCAGAAAAGAAGAGTTTCTTATGGCCTACTTTGGAGAGACTTTGGTCGGCATTGCTTCTGAATGGTATATGGACTAGGATATATCTCGTTGGCATATCTGGGATGACTTGGCTCGGGATTTTGTCAGGCAGTTTCAATATAACATCGACATTGCCCCTGACAGGAATTCACTGTCAAATCTAAATAAGAAGTCCTCGGAGAGCTTTCGAGAGTATGCTGTCAAATGGCGCGAACAAGCGACCAGAGTCAAGCCTCCAATGGACAAAACAGAAATGGTCAGTGTTTTCCTTCAAGCCCAAGAGGCTGATTATTATCAAAACATGATGTCTGCAATGGGAAAGCCATTTGGTGAAGCCATCAAAATCGGTGAAATGGTGGAGAATGGGTTGAAAACAGGGCGAATCTTGAGTCAGTCTGCTATAAGGGCTACCTCCCAAGCAATCCAAGGTGGGCCTGGAGGAGTAGCAAACCGAAAGAAGAAAGAAGAAGTAACAATGGAAACTTCGAGTGTAAGAAAACCCCATCCGTCCAGACTTCATTTCTCTGAAAGAGCCCCACAACACTACTACCCCCATCAAGATACGACCTACACTAGGGATATTCAGCCTTACACAGTGATGAATGCACAACCATATGCTAGGCCACGACAACAATTTCACCAAAACCAAGTTCAATTTCCCAGAAATCAACTTCCTCACCAAGCTCAGTATAATCCCCGACCTCCACAAAATAATCTCCCCTACAACGGCCGCACTCGAGAGCCGCCCAGGAAAACGAACTTCACACCTATTGGTGAGTCATATTCCAACCTTTTCCCTAAATTGGTCCAAATGGGTTTGTTACAACCCGTACCCCCAAATAGGCAAAACCTAGAGTCACCCTCTTACCAACCTGGCACCCGATGTGCCTATCATTCGGGAGCAGAAGGGCACGATACCAATGATTGTTGGACTTTAAAAAGGGCGATAGAGAACTTGATAGACCAGGCAAAAATAGTTTTAAGGGACGAGGAGATCCTAAATGTGACCAATAATCCATTGCCCGCTCACAATAATGGACCGGTGATTGGGATGATTTGTGAAGACAAGGAGTTTGATCCTACCCTGAAAGCTATAATCGCTATTGTCGATGCAGAGAGAAAGCTTAAAGCAGCCCCGAAGCAAGAAAAAGGGGAAAAAAAGACTAATACTGTCAAGGTTGAGCTCGAAAAGAAGGCTGAGACAAAGACAGAGAAGATGGTGCCTTCGAAGAATGAGGTTCTCTATATTCCACAAGGCCGATCAAAGAAGCCACAGAGATTCGAGATAAAAAGGGAAACACCGATGTACGTGTCGAAAGGGGCCTATGTGGTCCGGGGGACGATTAAACCACCTCGGCTGAACGAGCCAGTGGTTATCAGACGCGTACCACAGAAGCCAATGACAGACCCGTCTACGGTACCATGGAATTATCAACAAATAGTGGTTACATACAAAGGCAAAGAAATCACGGGGGAACTTCCAGAAAATACTTCTGTTGGAAAATATTCAGACATTCAAGAAGTGAACAATGCCACACGGAAGCGCTTCCCACCCAAGAAGCCTATAAGTGCTGAAGAGGTAGAGGCTTTCTTCCAAAAGATGAATATGCCTGAATATGAAGTGGTGGATCAGTTGCGCAAATACCCTGAACAAGTGTCTATGCTATCTTTGCTAATGAAGTCCACCGAACATCAGAAGATCCTGCTCAAAACCTTGAACGAAGCATATGTGCCGGCTGAGACTTCAGTTGAACAACTTGAAAGAATGACGGAAAGATTCTTTGCGGTTAGTCAAGTTTCTTTTAGCAAGAACGATTTGCCTCTGGAGGGAGCAGCTTACAACAAGGCTTTACATCTGACAGTCAAGTGTGAAGACTACTACGTCAAACGAGTAATGTTGGATGGGGGTTCAGGTGTCGACATTTGCCCGCTCTCCACGCTGCAAAGAATGGAAATTGGGACCGGAAGGATTCGCCCCAACAATGTCTGTGTAAGAGCTTTTGATGGCATCAAGCGGGATACCCTCGGGGAAATAGACCTGATATTGACTATTGGGCCGGTGGAGTTCGAAGTAACTTTCCAAGTACTGGATATGGACACATCTTACAACTTTCTCCTCGGAAGACTTTGGATTCATGCTGCAGGGGCTGCACCCTCCACTCTCCACCAAATAGTGAAGTTTGAATACGAAAATCAGGAAATTGTGGTCCACGGAGAAGACGAACAGTCTATTTATCGGGACCCATCCGTCCCATGTATTGAAGCAAGAGAAGGGAGTGAGCACACAATTTATCAGGCTTTTGAAGTTGTGTTGGCGGAGAAGTATGAAGAAGGGAGCCCTTGCCCCCAACCTTTCTTGTCCAACGCTTCGATCATGGTTGCTAAAGAGATGATCCGATGGGGATTCAAACCGGGAAAAGGACTTGGAAAATCGTTGCAGGGAATAATTGAACCTATCACTTTGCCTTCTACTGAGAAACTCTTTGGGATAGGTTTCCACCCTACTCCAAAAGATGAAGATTGGGCAAAGAAGAGAAAAAATGAGGGATGGAAGTTACCTCAACCATTGCCACATTTGTACGAAACTTTTGTCAGACCAAAGTACGCTGAAGAAGAAGATGATGAGGCCTTTACAGTCGAAGAGATTGAAGAAATATGTGGGGAAATGAGAGAAATGTTCTACGAAACTCACATGGTTCAGCTGGGAGAAGGCACAACCACCGCTGAGGTGCTGTACATGGGGCCAAATGCTAAGCTTCAAAATTGGGAGGCTACGTTGTTCCCAGTCAGGCGGGAGTCCGGGTAGACTTGTCCTGCCATCTTTCCTGCATCACGAGTTATCCCAGGGTGTAACTCGGATGTTTTTCTTTAGTTTCCTGTTTTTAATTTCCTGAAATGTAAACCCTGTTATCTTTCCAATTCCAAGGAGTAAAATCAGTATTTCATCATTTTTATTCTTTCTTTATTCTTTCTGATTTTCGCTATTTTTCTTTTATATTTTCCTTTCAGTTATAATAATGCGGCTTTAAATAATATGACATGCTTGCAGACTTCACGCTCGGATCCAAATGAGCTGTCTAATTGTGAAATAATGAACCAAGAACCGGAATATGACGAAGAAGAGGCTTTTAGGGAAATAAATCGAGAATTGGAACACTTTGAGAATAAACCTAAGCCAAATTTGAATGACACCGAACCGGTTAATTTGGGAACTCCTGAAGAAATCCGAGAAACCAAAATAAGCATTCGCACAGAGGAGAAAACGCGAGATGCAATAATTCAACTCCTTTTTGAATTTAAAGATGTGTTTGCTTGGTCGTACGACGACATGCCAGGACTAGGTGTTGATCTAGTGGTGCATAAATTGCCAATTTACCCTAATTGTCCCCTAGTTCAACAGAACCAAAGGAAGTTCAAGACTGATATCAGCGATAAGATCAAAGAAGAAATCACAAAGCAGTTGAAAACAGGCGTAATTCGGGTAGTCCAGTATACTACGTGGTTGGCCAATGTAGTTCCTGTACCGAAGAAAGATGGGAAAACTCGGGTGTGTGTGGATTATCGAGATTTGAATAGGGCAAGTCCCAAAGACAATTTCCCTTTGCCCAACATCCACATCCTTGTTGATAATTGTGCCAAACATGAGATACAGTCTTTCGTAGATTGTTCTGCTGGATATCATCAGGTCCCGCCAGGGCCAGAGAGACCTCTGTTTTTATATCTGACGGTCTTGGAAAATTATTTCGGTTGTGTCCTCGGACAACATGACGTAACTGGAAAGAAAGAGCAAGCGATCTATTACTTAAGCCAGAAGTTCACCGGTTATGAGGTCAAGTACACTTTGTTGGAAAGAACGTGTTGTGCTTTGACGTGGGTCGCTCAAAAATTGAGACATTATCTCCAAGCTCATACTACTTACCTCATAACCAGGTTGGATCCTTTGAAGTACATATTCCAGAAACCGATGCCTACGGGGAGATTAGCAAAGTGGCAAATCTTGCTTACTGAATTCGACATAGTTTATGTCACTCGCACAGTGATGAAAGCCCAGGAATTGGCGGATCACTTGGCTGAAAATCCAGTTGATGAGGAATACCAACCATTGAGTACTTATTTTCCAGATGAAGAGATAAACACCATAGAAGCAGTCTCGGAAGACGCTCATGCTTGGAAGATGTTCTTTGATGGGGCAGTAAACGCTAAAGGTGTAGGGATTGGGGCAATCTTGATCTCACCCGCTGGTCAGCATTATCCGGCTACAACTAGGTTTTGTTTCTTTTGCACGAACAATACAACTGAATATGAAGCCTGCATCATGAGCATGAATATGGCGATCGATCAAGATGTTGAAGATTTGTTGATTATGGGGGATTCTGATCTGATTATCCGGCAAGCCCAGGGTGAATGGGAAACTCGAGATGTCAAGCTTATTCCTTACCAGCAGCACGTGGAGGATCTCGGAAAGCGATTCAAATCAATAGAGTTCAGGTATGTCCCACGGTGTCACAATGAACTAGCCGATGTACTTGCCACTTTAGCTTCAATGTTACCTTATCCAGTCAACGCCTACATCGATCCCTTGGAAATCCAAATCAGGGAAAGACACGGTTACTGTAATGTAATCGAGGCAGGACCAAGTATCCAACCATGGTACCAGGATGTTAAGAGGTTCTTGAAGACACAAGAATACCCCGAACATGCTACTGGAGATCAAAAGAGAACTATTAGGCGGTGAGTGGATTCTTTTTGAGTGGCGAGATATTGTATAAAAGAACCCCTGATCTCAACTTGTTAAGATGTGTTGACGCCGAAGAAGCATGCAAAATCATGCATGAAGTACACGCAGGAATGTGTGGACCTCATATGAACGGGTATGTCTTGGCGAAGAAAATCCTTCGAGCCAGGTATTACTGGATAACTATGGAGAAAGACTATTTCAACTTCGTCCGGAAATGTCATCAGTGTCAGGTACATGGAGATCTGATTCACGCACCTCCAACGGAGCTACATCCTATGTCGGCACCGTGGCCTTTCGTCGCCTGGGGTATGGATGTCATTGGTCCGATCGAACCAAAAGCTTCAAATGGGCACAAATTCATATTGGTCGCTATTGATTACTTCACAAAATGGGTCGAAGCCGTCACTTTTAAATCGGTCACTAAGAAAGCTGTGGTGGATTTTGTACATTCCAATCTTATTTGTCGTTTCGGTATTCCTGCAACTATCATCACGGATAATGCGGCAAACCTGAATAGTCATTTGATGGAGGATGTATGCGAACACTTCAAAATAACGCATAGGAACTCCACTCCTTATCGGCCCAAAGCCAATGGTGCTGTTGAAGCGGCAAACAAAAACATCAAGAAGATTTTGAGGAAAACAATCCAGAGTTCCAGACAGTGGCATGAACAGTTACCATTTACCTTGCTGGGATATCGCACTATAGTGCGCACATCAGTAGGCGCAACCCCATACTTGTTGGTTTATGGGACCGAGGCTGTGATACCGGCAGAGGTAGAAATTCCTTCGCTCCGAACCATTGTTGAAGCAGAGATTGAAGATAACAAATGGGTTAAGATTCGAGTGGAGCAGTTGACCTTAATTGATGAGAAGCGAATGGCTGCGGTCTGTCACCGGCAATTGTACCAACAAAGAATGGCTCGTGCTTACAACAAGAAAGTGCGACCCAGGAATTTTGAAGTAGGTCAACTAGTGTTAAGGCGCATTCTGCCACATCACCAAGAAGCGAAATGAAAATTTGCTCCTAATTGGAAGGGTCCGTACATCATCAGGAAGATATTGCCAAGAGGAGCGTTGTACCTGGGTGATATTGAAGGAAATGATCCTGAAACAGCTGTGAATGCGGATGCAGTAAAAAGGTACTATGTCTGAACTCGCTCCGACGATGTCTTTGCGTAGTTGAGAAGACGAAGGCTTTCATTCCCGCTATCCAAACACTATCAATCCTTCTCAAACCCTTTGAGCTGGTTACCTTTCTTTGATTACCCTCTTTGGAAACCGGAAGTACTATTAAAAAGAAAAAGAAAAAGAAAAAAAAAGGAAAAAAAATCATAAAAAAAAAACACAAAATGTTTTCCTGAACTACGTTCGACTTGATTCCGAAAGGATACGTAGGCAGCCTCTCTTTGGGGTTCAGTCACACCAAAACAAGAATCCAGTTTTTCCCCAAAAGTGAAACTGGGGCAGATGTTATAATAATTTGACGCTGATCCCACCTGAACGGTTCCAAAGTTGTAATTCGATCCAAGTTCTTTTTACCCACCTGTTTCAAGTCCTTCCGATCAATCGGCAAAAGGTTCTCCAAAATCGAAGAACGCAATTGCTTGGATCTGAAGCAATCAAGATGAGAGAAATAAAATGAGAGAGTCTTATTGGTGAAAACCTACGGGAACCATAAGGTGATGGCGAGTAGAGAAATCGAAAATGAGAGTCTTGTTAGTGAAAACTCGTAACGAGCACTATAAGGCGACGATAAGAAGAGAAATGAGAGAGGTCGGCTAGCGAAAACTCGCAAAGGGCGCTGTCGGCCGAAAAGAGAATTTCACCACAGAAGGTTCTGGCAAGGTTCCCTGGTTTGGAAACATAGATCCGTTTGGTTCATGAGAAATTGCAAGTTCGTGAGGGTCGGGCATCCAGTCCAAAAAGCAGGTCATGTCAATTTAAAGCCAGCATGCACCTCAGATAAGTCTTTCTTTTCCCCGAAAAGGACGTTTCTCTTTTAAATTCATTTCCTCGCTCTTTGTTTACCTTTCTTTGAATCCCTTTTCGGTTTAACCCTAAGCTCCAAAACATGCTAGAAAGAAAAGGTGGCAGGACCGGTTTCACAGGGCTCCGTCTGGCAAGAGGTGAAGAAAATACCCGGCATTAGTGATGCGTCAGTCCAATCCCGACTGATCATGACGTTTGATTACCTCTAAATCCCCAAGCAGAGTGAGATGGAAGAACCAAAGCCTTACACGGGCGAATCATCATGAAATCCTAAAATATGAGTTTTATCCGTTTGAAAAGGGGTCGCCTTTGAAGCCAATAAATGGCGAAATTTCTCAACAGAAATGGGTCTGGGACCAAGAAAAATAATGAAGGCCACAAAACCGACCATGGTTTCAAACTAACAATTTTTCTTTGTTTAAAGTTGAAGCAGGTGCAATACAAAACGACTGCGCAAGAAGCAGGTACAACCATGCAAAAGGCAGGTGCAGCCAAATGGAAATGCGCCAGGGCTAGAAATAGCTATGCTGCAATAATCGACCCAAAAGGAACGTCTCCTCCCACTTCTTTCCTAAATTTTACTAATTTTTTTCTTAAATAGGGCCCCATTCCTTAGTTGATTTCCGGCATAACCCGATGACTTCCCCGGCATAACCCGAGGACTCTTTCCCTATTCCGGCATAACCCGAGGACTCTTTCCCTGTCCCGGCATAACCCGATGACTTCTCCGGCATAACCCGAGGACTCTTTCCCTTTTCCGGCATAACCCGA